CTACGACCAACCCCCCCCAAAAAAAATTACAATTTCAAAAAATAACTTTGCATAGAATCTAAGCAATACCTAATGGTAAACTGAACTTTTAAAGTCTTTAATGTCTACTTGTTTACAAAGCAACAAAATGTTTATAAAAGTGAAAGTAGCCAAAATTCTGTTATCAACTTTTTTGAAAAGTACATTTTTTCTCAGTATTTTTACTTTTCAAAATATAGAATTAAAATCCAATACACTTATGTATTTGAGTAACATACCATTGTAGTGTGATTTATAATAACAAGAATGAACCCTCAGTCCTTTATATTAAAAATTAACAAAATATTGCAGGGTATGCACACTGAATACTACAAACCATTAATAAAAGAAATACAAGTGTAATGAATAAGAGATGCAGTATGTTCATTGATTGCAACATACAATATTGTTAAAATATTAATATTCTCCAGTATGATTGACACATATCAAATATATTTTAGTCTTGTTAGATTTTTATGGATATTGCAAAATGATTCTAAAATGAATGAAAAGACAAAGGAGCTAGAATAAAAAAATAATTCTGTTGAAAAAAAGGCAAAATTAGAAGACTCATACTAAAGAGGTTTCTAGCCACACTGATTTGTGCTGGATAAAACTTGCTGTGTGGAATAAAGATACACACAAAGATCAAATGAACACAGGAGATACACCAGATTTAAACACACAGGAATATAATTCTTGCTGAGTTCTCAAAAAATACAACATACATAATTGAGAGATGTAAGTATACTAATACATGATCAAAATTAGATGGTTGAGAAGTAAAATGTTTCCATCAATTCTACCTACAAAATAAATTAACTTCATCAGGTTTCTGTAGAAGAGCCTCAAGAGATGGAAACTGTACAAAACGTTTTAGAGTGATAGTAAGGATAGTGGCAGTTTAAATTAAATGTGATCTTATAGACAGTATTTTCATTTTAATTCTTAGAGCTTGACAAGTTAAAACATGTGCTAAGCCATTTGTTATTATGTGTCTGTTACATTCTTAAAAACAAAATTCCTATTTTGTGCTATACAAACATTAGGCTACTCAGAATGTTTGCTTTATACTGATTTATAAAATGTATTATCAGATTCTAATTCCAGGGTAGAAATGGTATTCAGGCAGTGAGGTTAATTAAAATATTCAATCACTCCAAACCTTTATTTAATGTAAAGTGAAAAATTCTACCACACAAAAAAATGGCGCATAAGAAGTTTAAAATGAAAATGAATATGAATCTGTCAAATGTAATTGGAGCTCTACCTAAAGTGTCAAAAATTCAATTACACCTGAACTGAAACTGCTATCTTTTTATTTTGCTGACATCCCATAAATATATATATGTGCATATATATGTATATATATGTGCATATATATGTGTGTGTGCATATATATATGTTTAAAATTAAGATAAAAAAGATAAAAGTTGTCATGCTACCACGAATAGGTAGGAAATAAGCACACAAATGAAATTTTCTAGCTTTATCAGCTTTGTGGGCAAATCAAAATATAATCTTACAGACAAGATTAGATTTATATTTTTTCAGTTATCTCTTAGAATTGATAATATATTTTATAAAAATGTTTTTTCCAGATTTCCTTATTTTGACCAGACACAAACCCCACTCATTGCTTTTTTCCACCTTTATTCTTTTTCAACTGTGGAAACTATATTGGATATCCTGTCCTGCTTAACTGAGCCTGTACTGGACTCCCTGACCCTTATCAGGAAGTAGAAGGAGCCATCACTAAATGTTGCTCATAGCCAGGCACTGATGGCTCACACTTCTAATCCTAGCTACTCAAGAGGCTGAAATCTGAGGACTGCAGTTCAAAGCCAGCCCTGGCAGGAAAGTCTATGAGACTCTTATCTCCAATTATCCACCAGAAAACTGGAAGTGGTGCTGTGACTCAAGTAGTGGAACACTAGCCTTGAGCTGAAGAGCTGAGGGACAGCGCCCAGGCCCAGAGTTCAGGCCCCATGACCAGACCCCCCCCCAAAAAAAATTTTAGCTAGTAATGTACTACTATTTCTATGAAAACTACTACTAATGGTTTTACTGAAGATATACATAGGTTAAGACTTTTGATATAAATATCCAACTTAATACTTCAAATGGTTATTGTGTATCAATTCATATTGCCATTATGAGTTCATTAATGATATTACCTGCTTTCCTAAACTTTTGTAAACTACGAGTAGTAACAAGCTCTTTAATCTCTATCAATTTGACTGCAGTAAATTTGTATCATAAAATCATTGCATTTTTAATCAGTGTTGCCACTGAATATCATTATCTGTTAGATACTTCATGACCTTGGCAAGAAAAAAAGTTAAGTTTAAAGGTAATATTTCGTGTAAAAGTCTTTTTTAAGTACTTCTGTGATTAAGAGAGTTAGACAGTCTTAAGTAAACGATATTGCACGCTCAAGTAAGTTAGCATTTTAAGATGGAAGAGACTTGGGCATGTGTACAAACAGAAGGAAGAATTCAGAGTTGTGCAGAAGTTTAAGGGTATAAGCAAAGTAAGGTTACCTTAGAATCTGAAGCTCTGGATTGACAGGGATCCTAGTTGTCAAGGTAGAAGAAATAGTAAGTATGAAGAAGAGACCTTTCCTCCTTTATACCAGTGGAAGTAAAATAAAGGAAACATGAATATAGGTACAGTATTCCACAGTAGAGATGAAGAAAGTCATGATATGACTATATCCCTTGCTTTCTTTCAAAGAAAGATGTAAATATTCCTGGAGATGTTGCAGGATTTCCTTAGGGAAACATAGTAAAATTTCTAATGGATCATAAAAGTTACTTGATGATATCACAACATTCCAGTACTGAATCTGTGTGTGTGTGTGTGTGTGTGTGTGTGTGTGTGTGTGTGTGCGCGCGCGCGTGTGTGTGTGCCTTGCACTCAGGAATAAATCCTTGTTATTTTACACATGAAGATGTAACCCTGACATTAGTTGAAGTGTTTGGTTCATTTACTTGTAATTGAATGGGTGATACACACTTGTAATTTAGTCAAGTAACACTTAATAGTTACTAATTAATGCTTTATGACTACTCCACTACTTATTTCATTCATAATTTCTTTAAATTATCTCAGGACATGTTATTCCCTTGGTCTTTATCTGGACCTTCTTCCTATTGTCAATAACTGTGAGCCTTTATAGGTATTTTTTCTGGATGTCAGAGCCTGTTCTACCAAGCCAGGCAAGTTGTCACTGTGCCTGTGTGGTATAGTTCTGAGATGTGTATTCTGCATTGATTTATCAGTTTCACATCTGTCTTAGGCTTCGTTTACCCATAATAGTAACTTGTGTCATAATATACCATTCCTTGAAGTCTTTCCATTTTTAAAAATCTCACTTCTGCATTCCACTACTGGTATTTCCTGAGATTACTTCTGAAATATCAGTTTCTCAGGCAGCCCCAAGACAGGAACCCTCTGAAATGGATATTATATCCTGTTTTAACTATGAAACACTTGAAGAATAGGGAAAATTAGCAACTTACTTATGATCACGGAGTTACTTTTGCACTACTATTATGGAGCTGGAATAAAAACCCAGACCACAAAGCCAGATTTCTGGGTTGCTTTTTACAGCGGGTTCTCAGAGGTCAGAGTAATTTACCAACTACCCACTTAAACATACAAAATATAAATTCAAGTGATGAAAGGATCAAAATGATATTAGTAATGCATAATAGAGACAAATCTTTTTTTTCCACAAGATCCCTAAAATCTACCTATGGATTAAATTGAAAAGAACCAAAATTGTAACTAAAATTTATAACTGCCTTGAAACACAGAATTCCATTCTGTGGAATTTCATTGTATATTGATGCCACATACTCTCAACATCTGATGATACATAAATATTTTAAGGAATTTCTCATGATATGTTGGAGATCTTATCCAAGGCTTTCTTGGCACATTGCACTGTCTGGGAGAACATTCTGATATTAGTTGTCAAGAACACCTATTGCCTTTTTGAATCTAGGCTGCTTTTGTTCGGTGACGCCTAATTTTATTGCTTCTTTTTTTTTCTTCATACACTTACTGCTGGAAAAACAGTTTGGCTTACCCAGAGCAAATGCCATGTGTCATGCCCATGCTATACCGCATTCCGAAGTGCAAGTTATATCTCTAATCTTCTTTCAATTTTCTAAATGCTTCCAATTCTTCTTTTCTTGGGATATGTATATGTACATGTGCGTGTGTGTATCTGTGTGTGTGATATCTTTTAAAGTTTTGGGATGGAGACATAATTACTGGTGAGAGGAAACTGTGAGAATTGAGTCCATAGACACTAGTCATTGAGCAAGGCTACATGTTCTCTCAAATTGCTTAGTTAGTAATAAAGTTAGAGAAATGGAAAGTACCCATGAGTGGGAAGCAGTGATTTGAATTGACATGAGAAATAAAATCCTAACGCACACATATTATGAATTTCAAGATGTGCCTTTATTAGATGTTCTTTTCCTTGCTTCTAAAACCACATTCCAAACCTGCTAATTTTGACTATGCCATGGGTTACTTAAATTCATATATTTGTTCCTTCCTAACTGAATATTTTCATTTCAACATACATGTTGATAAAGTAGGAGCTAAGTGTTCAGTTGCATATATTTTGATCTGAAAACAATCTCACATTTGATGAATATGTACACAAATACATTATTTCTGATTTTGTATGGCATTTTGCATGTAAAATTTCAGTACAGATTATATGGCTAAAGCATTACATGAATGACTGAAGCAGTAATTAATGCAGACATACTAATTATTTGAAAGGTAAAAGAAAATAGCCCTTAGGATAGAGATGTACATATTAATTAACATAATGCATTAGTTTTACAAATATCTACTTCTACTTTGATGGTCAATCAATGTGAACGAAGTACTATGATAAGTTCTTGTTGACATAGGGTTAATTGTTTCTATGGTATTCACTAGCAGTAAAGTAATAATGCACATAATTATGATAAATTAATAATCCTCAGGAGACACAGAAAGGGAATATTTATAGCATTTTATTTCACATGGTAGAATTACTTTATAAAAATTCTGTCCCTGGAGGTCCTCAAAATTTTATGTAAAGCACATTCAGAGTTGAATAAATATTTATGTTAAATATGTAGTAATCACTGTAAATTGCCAATCACGGTGAGTATGGCTTTATACACAGAGAGATAAATAGGTATAAGAAAAACTCCCACAAACTCAAAAAATCTCTGCCAAACTCAGACATTCAAGTTTTTATGTATTTGTAGTAATAAATAGTATTGTGAAATTTGAGATTTATGAACAAGTTGCTTTAAAATATATTAACAGATTCTTAATACCTCAGATTAATTGAATTGTCTTAGTATATTTTACTCATACTCAAAAGCTAATGTTG